AACCGAATGACGAACACACTTAAGTGAATCCCACACACCGACGCGATAGTCACCGTAACCGGCGAAAAGAAGACGACCTCAAAAATTTACCATTAATAACTAAATCACAAATAACTAATCAAAAAAGAATACTGCTCACCGCTAACGCTGAAAATCCACACCATTCACAGGGAAGAGTATGGATTCCTTCTCATAAACGCATACTTGACGATCGGCTCGTAGATCGAACAGGCGACACTGAATTGTGTGGCTTTAACACATTGCGGACCGCCGTTGTATGAGCACCTTCGTACTTTTTTATATTTTTCAAAAATGTATCATCATTAATCTATCAACAATTTTATCAGTGATGACACGTATGGTTTCCCGGCTCTGAAAATGAGTGCAAACAGTTCAGGAGCATTGAAAAATGTCAAATAAATCAGATAAACTATGATGTTTCGTGCGAAATCGTGCGCCACATGGTGGCGCACGCGGTACGCAATGTGTTAAAGCCACACAATTCAGTGTCGCCTGTTCGATCTACGAGCCGATCGTCAAGTATGCGTTTATGAGAAGGAATCCATACTCTTCCCTGTGAATGGTGTGGATTTTAGCGTTAGCGGTGAGCAGTATTCTTTTTTTGATTAGTTATTTGTGATTTAGTTATTAATGGTAAATTTTTGAGGTCGTCTTCTTTTCGCCGGTTACGGTGACTATCGCGTCGGTGTGTGGGATTCACTTAAGTGTGTTCGTCATTCGGTCCTTTATGGCCATGAGAATCGCATCAGCTGTCTACGCACAAGTCCCGATGGGACTGCAATATGTTCTGCCAGTTGGGATTGCACTATCAGGGTGAGTGCAACTTAATTTTCCATGATGGAGACACGTATGCTTTCCTTTCTTCACTTGCCAGCTCATAATGCTAAGTAATTCGTGGTTCTGCTTCTGTTTTTATTCGTTTACATACTGGAGTTGAGGGAAGGGCACGAGCTTGCCCAATTCGAGTTATTCATGAAACCACGCTGTTTATTGCTGAAGGAGAGCCTGACCTCAAAGGCAGTCGCGATGATTGCAGAGTGGTGCGGTTCTGTCGTTTCCGTTGAACATCGTTGGTGGAAAGGCGGTCCCAGTCACACTTCCCACTGTGCTTGGCAGCTCAAGTCTACTGATGACGTTCAATGACGTCACCAAAACCGCACCGCCCTCCAGTCATCGTGACTACTGCTTTTAAGGGCAAGTATAGTCGTACCAACGCGTGTCATTTCAGATCTGGGCATAATCACCTTCGTGTATCCTGCTTTATTCGTCGCTCCCACTCTACCCATTCACTGTTTTGTGTTTGTTGTCTACGTGAATCTAAGTCATGTAAAGAAAAGGAAGCTATAATACCCACTAATTATTTATCTGGTCATAATTGGAATGTAATAAATATCTGACGTACAAAAATGCGACTATACAACAAAATACAAATAAATTAAATAAAAATACACATACACCGGTAGGCGTGAGGAAACATGATAGGATTGGCGTTTTTCTTGGTAATAATACGGAGTTTTTGTCGCAGTCACACATCTACACTTTGTATGCCGTGCCCAGGTGAGTCTGCAGCGCGCACTTAGCAACATAAGCGTGGCAAAAATAATTTAAAGCTTGTGAATAAGCGTTTCGTATGAATTGCCGAGGCTTTTCGGCACGTGTTCTACTGATTTACAGATATAGCAGCAGTATATATTTGCAAAGGGTCCTGAAATCATATTTTCATTGTGATTTTTGGATGACATGGATTTATTTTTCACGCTAATTATTTGCTAAGCGGCGCTTGCCGACTTGGTCGGCAACGGAGAGCGACAAATGGTAACTTATTGTAGATACTAGTCGTATGCCGACTTTACCCAGACACTGTTCTGACTCTGCCGATTCCAACTGGTCGAGTTGGCGTGTAAGTTGGTCGCACGGTCTGGCCAGTTGCATGCTCGATGCGATCAAATCTTATTTTAATCGCACCTTTCTATTTGATGGCGACTATTCCTTAAATCTTGCTTCTGGCGCTCATGTCCTCGGGGGGGGGGGGGGGGCGAGAGGGATAGGACGAATACCACAACCAAAGGGCTTGAGTAAGGCCCAAGAGGGTAGGAACGGCATTGGAAGCACGGCGAATTGCAAATTGCATTAGCTCCCAACTAGAATCCCTTCCCCTGCCTGAGGCTTAGTCGCAAGCCTCAGCAATTGTACTCAGCTACTTGGATGCCTTCGCCCTCCCACCGAAGGAGACGATTGAGCGCCTTGCTCTAGACAGCAACTGGTACATTCACACGCTATGGTCACGTACGGTTTGTCCACTAGAGTGAACCAGGTACAACTGGCTGCACAAGGGTAGCGTCAAGTGACCGAGCGCTAAATGGTTAGCCATTAAAGGTACTTCCCACAATTCAACTGGCACAGCTTATTGTGCTCGAAAATGATGTAGTTGTGATGATTGGTCCCCCAGTTATGAAAGAAAGCAAGCGATTCCCAGCAACGATATCAGCGAAATCGTTGATATCGTGACATGCGGCGAGGAGATGGAGTCGAGCAACGAGATTTGCACAGGGGTGGAGCGCAAACTCCGCCCACATATCGGCGCGCAGTTTGAGTCTAATGGGTTCTAGCATCTTTTTAGAGTTGTTTCAATGCTACTAAACCAATCACCACAACTACCTTCGTTTTCGGACGTATACCATACCTATACAGTAGTGGAATGAACCTTTAATAGTAGCGGTCATGGTCACGGTCATGGCAATAGTTTAATGGAGATAGGGGGATAAGGAAGGGTAAATGATTTTTGCAGGGATGTGCTATATTAACGGAGATATTCAGATGTGTAACTACGACCAATAGACCGAACTGCCGTGCAGTACTGCTGCGTGGCACACTTATGTTTGCAGTATTTCAATGGGAGATGACATGGTGTTAATTGAGGCTGAAAGGTCGTGACATTCAAAACCTTGGAAATGGACTACCATAATCTTGTTCTGTGTTCAGATTATGTGCCGGTCCATTCTATGACCCTATTTTACTTATGAATAAACGCCGCAAATTTACTGAAAGGGACGCGTGCGGTCGCGTATGCGTGGAGCTATTAAATTCAGATTTAGCCAATGTCTATGACTAAGTGGCTCGAGATATTCTTCGAAGATAGTTAGCAGTATTAGAGAGTGATCCTAAGCCAGAGCGGAGAGAAGAAACGCTTTTCTATGGATAGTTAGCGACCGGTCTGATAAATAACCCTTCGTAAGGGTTTCATGGCGACCCTTATTCTGAAGCCTTAATGTACTACCTGGCCATTTCGGCCAGTAGTAACCAGTTTCTAGTCCACGATACAGTCCCTAGCGATCGCCTCCAATACGTCATGGAATTTGCCGATATTCGAATCAGTGAAGACACGGTCTGGGGAGCCGACGATGACTTCCAGTTCATTTCGAGAGATGGGATACTGAAAATACGAATATTGCGTTCCAGAAGAGGAACAGACGATGATAAAGCCCCATTCAAAAATGTTAGACGTGCATTTCGTGGGTCGGTGGTGCCTTTGAAAAAGGATAAGTAAGTTATGAAACTGGCAACTGATAACCT